CTTACTATCGCGAACAATTTGAAGTGGAATAGTCATGTCAATAACATAGTGACAAAAAGTTCCAAAAGGATTTACCTTTTAGTGCAGCTGAAACGAGCAAAAGTCGCGATTCAAGATGTTTTACAATTCTATACCGTATTACTCAGGTTTTTGTAGAGCTAATCTACTCTGCTCAATGATGAGTAACTGATTCTTATCTCTTTACTCAGACTTTAATAAAGCCAACGGACTCTACACAATCCAATGAGTATTTACTATAGTTTTACTCAGGCTTGAGTAAAGCTAATTTACTTTACTCAAACGATGAATAAATTGGTATATTCAATCCATGAGTAATGTTTACGTCACTCAATATCTGAGTAATGATATTTTGGTATATTCAGTCTTTGAGTAAAAACGATGTTTTACTCAAACTTTTGACAAAAGGTAGGTTTACTCAAGAAGCGTCAAAGTAAATGAAATTGCAATTTTACTCATTGGATGAGTAATTTTACTCACAAATGGCGTAAATTTACTCCTTCCGGCCCGAGTCAAATGTCTTACCTATTGCCTATCAAGACACTTTTACTCATGTTTCTCAGTAGAATCGCGTTTCTCAGAAGAAAAACCGTGGGGTAAAACATGCCAATTACTGAAATTGTGAGTGACTTTACTCGCAAAATGAGTAATTTGACTCAAATCGAAAAGTGGATTTTTTGCAGCGTACAATATTATGTATTTGACCCACCTCCTTCAGTCTGCAATTGACAGCATTTGAATTCTTCAATACAATACATATAGTCGCAGATGGATCGATACATGCCAGTTATATAATAACCAGATGTGGTACATGTCACCATCCCTTGTTGATACCAATTAAATTTTCCCCGAACGTTCTCATTGTAACACGACTTGTAGAAATTATTAGCTCCACGAGGTTTGCAGCACCACGCATACTCAATGTCGGCGAGATTATTACCCCATGAACGGTAAAGTCCGGACAGAAAATATCCTGATGGACACAAGTTCCAAGTATGATTTCTATAAAAAAATAATCAAAAATTAAAATACATCCTAAAATAATTTTTGTTTCACTTGCACATAACGTAACGGTGGAGAATGGTGGAAAAAACCACCAAATTGACAGCTAAGATGACCTGCCTTATCTTAATATAGAGCATTAGCGAGCTTAAACAAGCGACATTTTTGTCAGCATGATCGTCAGATTGCTGAGGAAGGACTGGACTAAAAACTGCATGTGTTTGTATCAATTTGTGGTAGTCTACAACACATGTAACAAAACGTACGATTTTTAAAGTTTTTGCTTTTTTACTCATGACGATGCAAAAATGCCGTCAAAATGAGTTAGACCATTTTCTGATGACGTCCCTGTCGACAAATACCTCAATTGCTTAAACTTACTAATGAGGCGAACTACCAAATTATTTCAAGATATATAATGTCGGCATTTTTTTTATTTGGTGGTAGAATTTTAAGGAATGAAAAAGAACAATAAAGAACACACGCACAAAATATATGACTGAGGAAATGATGCCGAGCATGCCAAAAATAATGCCTTTTATGCCTCGATGGATCATATCTTGAATAACGGAAAGCTACCACTTATTTCTTTACAGTCGTGCCAATAGAAGCGTTCCGAAAAATGTTGACCAATTCATTTCCTAACTTGAAGTAACACCTCTGAACAATTCCTCAACAATTTGACAAGTTCCTTAAAACGTTCCTAACTTCCTGTTTCATTGACCAATCGGATTGCTCAAAAATAAAATATAAAATTTGATTGGTCAATGAAACAGGAAGTTAGGAACTTTTCAAGAAACTTATCAAATTGTTGAGGAATTGTTCAGAGGTGTTCCTTCAAGTTAGGAAATTAAATGAATTGGTCAACATTTTTCGGAACGCTTCTATTGGCACGACTGTAATAGAGCTTCAGATTATATTATCACTACCAGTAACTCTCACTAGGTCTGTGTGCAAAAACAAAAATGGAGAATATGTTTAACTGAAAGAGCAAAAGTATTACCTGTTAAAACTAGCAACCCAATTCGTTCGCACGCATTCAACATTGGAATTTCCATTACTACAACATTTGGCTTCTTCCAGATGATAAATATAGTCATCACTCGGCTGTGAAACGTTGCTCCTGTACAGACCATTTATGTAAGGCATTGTAGTGGGACATTTTGACCAGCCAATTCTGTCGAAACTTGAGCGCCAGTTTGCATTTCCACACGAGCCTTTTGCTAGAAGTCGTTTGAGAATAGAATTAACGTTTCATCTACTGTCTAAAGCCTGGTTTACATATGCCTGCGGTATACCTGCGCAAGCATTGTTTACAGCTGTTGATGCATACATTCTTTTGCATTGCGAATTATTTGGTTGAACTGCTAACGACATTAGTCCGCGGACATATCGCAGGCATATGTAACCAGTTTGTTTAATTCCGAATTTACAATCTTAATAAGCTGACATTTCTAAACCATTAAGAAAAAGTCATTGTCCATATGTATTTAAGAAATTATAGGCGCGGCTGTTCATTCTTCATACCCGGGGGGTGGTGAGGGAAATTCTTATATGATATATTAAAAACTCATGTGACTCCCCCATTTGCGATGCTCTTAATAATGAAGACGCCCTAGATATTTAAAAGTACATGCTCCATTTGCCTATATATCAGACATTTACACATGATTCTAGTCATCGTTTAAGTGAGAGTTCGGCAGGGTATTTTTTAAGAATTTCAGTGCCATTGGAGGGCCATCTACAAAAAGGGACCATACTATACCGAGTGTGGAGAAATGATAGATGGTTTGTTGGTAACAAAAAGGTTGGTGTGGTATCGCATTTAATAGTAGGGGGAGTTATTCTCCCCCAGAAAATTTTCGTATTTTTCTATCCCTACGACTGCAATTCCCTGCATTTCCTGGAACAGATTTTTGGATATACAGCATTACATTATGATGTAGATAGACTGAACTTTCAGTTATGTACTTGCATAGTACATTTATGTAGGTACCGCAACTTGGTCACTCAGGGAACAAGCTTGATAAACTTACAGGGCCCGGCTACCACGAAGCGCCACCATGGTTGGCACAGAGCTGGAAAGTTTTGAAAATTTTGCGTCTCTAAATCGTCGGAAATGGCATTTTCAAAATCTTCTCTACCTCTTTTGTTGGGCCCTTTCATTAATTCGTTCATTATGATTTGTAAGTCTATGCTATCCGCGAGTCAGGATGGATTATTACGAGAAATGTTGTTATCAAAATATCGATTACAAATATTTGATTATATATATATATATATATATATATATATATATATATATATATATATATATATATATATATATATATATATATATATATATATACTATATATATATATATATATATATATATATATATATATATATATATATATATATATATATATATATATATATATATATATATATATATATATATATATATATATATATATATATGAAATATATATATGTATATATATATTTCAAATACTTCTATTTTCGAAATCAATTGGGTTTTTTTGGTGGGGGGGGGGGGCAAAATTATTCCCCCTTATAAAACACTGGGTTGCGGTCACTAACTTGTGTAGCCGAGCCGGCGAGCCTTCCAACAACTCAAATCTACAGGGTCTAGGAAATACAATCTATAATCTATGTTTGTTTATTTGTTTATTTCTATATGATAATACTACAGTGGTCTATTCGTAGTACAAACACTAACTAACTAAATATATATATTGATGTTCTTTGGTTTATATGATTTATATAGTTAATTAATATTACCAAGTAATTAATATCCTGTCGAAACATACCACTTATACTATGACTATAGTGACGTATTTACTATACTACATCACTTCCTTTTTTTAAACTGTCTACCACAATAGTGGTTGTCCATATCGCTCTGGTCCCTTGGTGTTTCTGGACGACTTGCGAATACTTGGTTCATTATTTCCACTATCAGTGTGGTTAGCCTTGTTCTGTTCATTGTCGTTGTTGTAACCTGCCGAATCATCATCCTCATCATCTGTATCTACTTTATTGTTCGTTTGTAACGGTTTAAAGTGAGAGACGTTTCTCGTAATGATATGTCCGTATTTGTTGCGTCACTTGCGTGCTGTAACACGTGAGTGCACTTCGGGGGGGGGGCAAAGCCTCCTAAACTTCCGACAAAACTTTCAAATTTCCGACATACCCCCCCCCCCATTTTCACTCGAAAAGACTGTTTTTAGCCCTCTTTTATGTCAAAATTTCCGAAAATTCGGCAATTTTCCGTGAAGGGCGGCCGCCCCCCCCCGCACCACCAAGATTTCCGCCACTGCGTGAGTGTTGTCTGTTTGTTATAGTATACTGTACGGTACTTCGTTGCATTGTGATGTAAGTTTGTTTTGTTTTTGTTTAACCAGGACACGATCACCGACTTTGATGTCACTCTTTTTCACGTTTCGCTTGTTGTCAGCGTATTTCTTGTTGCACTCCTTTTTCAATTCTTCGTTCTGACGGGCTTGTCGGTGGCAGTTGATAATATTCCGCTTTTGTAACACAGGTAATTTTCCTTTGGCGGTTCTGTTAAATAATAGTTCTGCTGGTGGTACTCCAGTTGTGGAATGTGGGGTTGTGCGGTATTGCAATAAGAATCTGTTCAGTTCTTGTTGCCAGGGACGACCTTCAATTTTCGCTGCTTTTAGTGTTTTCCCTAGTGGTTGCATAAATCGTTCTACTTCCGCGTTCCCTTGCGGCCATAGCGGAGTTGCAAATTGCGGTTTTATTCCGAGTGCTTTTAAATACCGACTGTACTCTTCTCCGTTGAAGGGCGGACCGTTGTTGGATTTAACGGTAGTTGGTATACCATGTGTTGCAAAAATCTTATCTAATTTTGGTATGACTGTGGTTGCTTTAGTGGATTTAACAATCTCTACTTCGGGAAATCGTGAATAGCGATCCACTACGACTAGTAGTTACTCGCTTGAGGGTAAAGGACCGTAAAAATCAAGATGCACAAGTTCCCATGATCCTTTGGGTATGTTGGTCATCGCCAGAGGTTCGGGTGATGTTTGCTCACTTATGGCTTGACAGGGTATGCACTGGTCAACGGTTGTTTTTACCAGATTGTCGATATCTGGAAACCAGGTCTTTTCTCTTATTAAGGCTTTCGTCTTTGTAATACCCGGCGAATGTGTTTCATGGGCAATGTCGATAGCTCGTTGCTGCAGTGATTTCGGAATCACAACTCTCGATCCTCGTAAAACGATACCAGTTGAGGTTACTGTGAGTTCGTCTTTTACGTTTTTAAATGGTCTGACTACATCATAGTCCCACTTGTTTAGTTTTAAAGCAGCTCTTAGTCCTTTCCATTTTCTGTCTGAGTCAGTAGCTGCTTGAATCTCTTCCAATGTCATAGCTTTTGGGATACTGCTCTGAGTAAGAAAGTTCACATATTCTTCTGTTAATTTCTGTTGTTTCAAACTTGTCTGTGTTGGTTGATTGTCAGGGACACGTTCAATTATGTCCTGTTGTTCTAATTCTGAGAGTGTGTATGCATTTCACTTCTTCTCGAATATGATACGGAATGCGTCGTTGTGGCTGCGCTTTTGGGGCATGTTCGTTATCAATATTGAGTTTCACCTTTTCGCCTTTCAATTTACCGAGATCACTAAGTACTTTAGCGTGTTTATTTAGGGGTAGCAAATCTACGAGTTAAGCCCCTCGAGTTAGGGACGGACCATTAGATATTTGAGGGGGGGGGATACCAAAAAAAAATTCGCGCACAGAAAAAATCCAGAAAAAAATATCGTGCACAACAAACCTATCGAAAAAAAAATCGAGCAAGAACTAGGGCTGATTTTTAAAATCGTAATGCAATTGTTATAAAACATTAAAATGGTGTTTTTACGACAATCGGAAAAATTTATGCTTCCCCCCGTCGACGAACTTCTCAGCGAACTTTCCGGGAAAAATTGTTTAGGTTGTCTAAAAAAAAATATTGTGCAAAGGAATGTTGCCGAAAAAAAAATTCTTGCAAGCAATTGGGGGATGACGAAAAATTCGTGCACAGAAAAATTGCCCCCCCCCCTCAAATATCTAATGGTCCGTCCCTTAAACCCTTCGAGTTAAGCTCCGACCACGCCCTTTCGAGTTAAGCCCCTACCACGCCCATACCACGCCCATTTCCGCTGAGGGCTTAACTCGAAGTACATAACTGGAGATGGGTACTTCGAGTTATTTAAGCCCTCTAGAAAATAGGGGCTTAACTCGAGCAAAGTCAAACATTTTGTTCTTCGAGTTAAGCCCCAACGTTTGAAAGATGTAAACGAGCGAAGCTTTTAATCTGATCCCAAACAAACAAGACGCTCCACGGAGCGTTAAGTCGCTGGGGCCATATACCACTAATTAAAGAAGTCGCTGGGGGCAAATACCACTAATTAAAGAAGAGCATGTTTGTTTTTCAAAAATATTGATTCTTGAAGTTTGCAGTTTGCCTGGCAGTTAGCGCTAATAGTTAAAACAAGTACAAACATGTACTGCATGTATACAGTATAGTGTGTTAAAATTATAAGCGTTTATCCTGTTGTCATTACACAGATCGGCTGGTGTTATGTTACCAACTGGCCAAATTAAAACTGCACTTTGGAAGGCAAGAATATTATTCGCCTCGAAACTAGACGCATTTGCATAAGCCATTATGCATACAATAATCATAGCCTCGTGAGAGGAGAGATATAATTTCGCATGATTACCAAGCGACGTCTAGCAATAACGCTTCAGTCATATCTACTAATCTAATCTACATACCCGTCAGTGTGCAGTATAAAGGCGGCGAACTGCATGGAATAATAATATATGTTATTGTGCTAAGAAAGATTCCAAGTTGCTTCCACACGATATCAGGAAATTGAGTTCCTCCTTTTCAGCTTTTGGTAATACATTTTGTCCCAATGAACCTTATCCTTCACTGATGCTATTTAATATGTATAGGATGTACACTCGAAAGAAACAGGCGATGTCTGACTTTAAGTTTAATTTGTGTAGATCCAGAAGACCAAAATATTATTACTGACTGGAAAGTTTGGAAATTGTGCGCCGGAGATTTCGAAAATTCAATAGTAAATATATAGAAAGCATCAAAATTTGCGGGCCCGATATCTCCGCCGCGCGATACAAACTTTAAAATATATAAAATTATGTACAAAATATCCACTCTCCTCGATAACACAACAGTGAAACGTCGTGATAACTTTTAGTGAATTCTTAATATATTCCTTTCAAAACCCCCAAAAGAAAAGACACGACTGGACGAAACAGTCAATAGAGAACTTTTGCACGCTATTCCATGGTCGCCATTTTGATTTTTATTTCGTAAAAATTACGTAATTAAAATGACGTAATTTGTCATTTTGTGGCGTACCCTTCGGTAAAGCCTGGTTCACATATGCCTGCGACCAGTGCCGGATTAACCATATGGCAGAAGCGGCATATGCCACGGGCCCCGCGCTTTTGGGGCCCCGCGCTTTTGGGGCCCCGCGCTTCTCTCTTCTATTCTTTTTATGAATTTTTTGTTCCCTGTCTCAGCGCGTGGCCCAAACAATGCGCCAGTGCGGGGCCCCAAAGAGTCCAAGTCCCCCAGAAAACACGAGGCCCCAAAAAATCAGCCCCAAATGTTTTCTTTTTCTTCCCTGTTTTAGTGTTTCAGCGCGGGGCCCCAAAGAATCCAAGGTCCCCAGAAAACGCTATAGGCTCCCAAGATTTAAAAATCGAGGCCCCAAAGTGCGGGGGCCCAAACGATTATTTTGTTCCCTGTTTTAGCGCGGGATCCAAACAGCGCGGGGCCCTAAAGAGTCCAAGGCCCTAAAGAGTCCAAGGCCCCCAAAGCAAAACCCCAAACTAAAAAAACCACGAGGCCCCAAAGTTAAAAAAGCGAGGTTCCAAAAGCAGGCCCGCGAACACAAAATTTTTTGTTCCTTCTTTGGGCAAGAGGCTCCAAAAAAGCGATCGCGAGGCCAGAAAATCATAGGGTTCAGAAAATTTCGAAATTTGCAGCAGACTGTTAAATACTAAAAGATCGCTGAATTTCGTGGAAGGCGGCAGAAGTTTATATGGACGCTATCATGTTTAGCTATCTTTACCCTGTAAATAATAATGTTAATGGTATAAATCGGGTTAAATTTCAGTTCGAATACAATACACAAAATATTATATTGATGTATAATTCTTTCTCTTTTTGTAAATACACAGGAAACTTTTCAACGCATGAAATACAAAATGATATTTTTTTAATTTTACTGAATTCAGGATTTAAAATGCCGTTCGGACGGTTGGGGAGGGGGGGTCAAGGGGCCCCGCGCCAATAATATGCCACGGGCCCTGCGGAACGTTAATCCGGCCCTGCCTGCGACATGCCTGCGACTGTATCATTATGCCTCAACTTGCCGCCGAAATACCGGGAAAGTTGAACTCAAGTCAACTTTCCCGGCCTACCGCCGATGTAACTGAGGCACTGGAGGCAATCGGCGAACAAATATTCACATAATTCACGTTTTAAGCTACCACCGGCATCGTCGCCGGTACGTCGCAGGCACGTCGCAGGCATATATGTGAACCAGGCTTAAACCTAGAGTCGGTGGGCACCACAGTGGCCCCACCGACTAATTAAATTATCATTTGGATCGCGTTTCGTTCAATCACGGTTCAATACGTTTTATTTCGGCCGACGTATTATATATATTAGGGACTTTAAGATTGACGTTTACAGCAAACCGCTTTTTTTTCTTTTTTTTTCCGTTTACGGCAAACCGCTAACCGCAAACGAAAAATTTCCAATCGTAATTTGAAGTCAACTGTTAGCTACGGAAGCCGTGAAGGGACTTCAGACTTCGGACTTCAGACTTCAGACATTGGTTCCAAGCTTCGCTAATAGCCAACATTGCTTTTGCGTTCCTCTCAGAATCACTTTGTCCAATCATCATTTTGACCATTTTTTACTTTAGTTTGAATAGCTTTGACTGAATAAGTGCCTTAAATATTAGCCAGCTTCGCAGAAGCAATGTTCGGCTATTAGCGAAGCTCAGAACCAATGTTTGAAGTCTGAAGTCTGAAGTCCCTTCACGGCTTCCGTAGTAATTATAAGTAATAGCATAAAAAGAGGCGAATTAGCTATTAAAACGTCCCGCCCGATGAGGGTCGTTTAGTAAAATTCCCTTGAGTGCCGCTCGATGAGGGTCATTTAGTAAAATTTTACTAAATGACTCGAATTGAGCGGCGCCCAAGGGAATTTTACTAAACGACCCTCATTGGGCGGGACGTTTTCAATAGCTAAGGGACGGACCATTAGAAAAGTGATGGGGGTGGGTGGGGCAAAACCAAAAAAAAAAATTATTCCCAGAAAAAAATTAAGAAAAAAAAAATCTTTCCAGGCATAGTGCAAAAAAAAATTCCTTGCTTAGAAGATAGGCCAAGTGGTGTACTGGAGGGAGGGATCAGGGGGGCTGAGCCCCCTTGTTGAAATTTCATGTTGACTTGGGGGCTGCACGTTGGTCAAATTTAGCAAAATTTCTCCCACTCGTGCGGGTTCGTATTGACAGCGGACATCTTACAGAAAGTGGCCAGTTCTTTGAAAAATGCAAAAGTTTCAATTTTACACCGCAAGTCCACTGACAATATGAGCCTGCGGTCCTGGGAGAAAATTTGCTGAATATGACCAGCGTGCTGAGCCCCCCTATATTTTGGCACGTTGCATAATCTTAACAACGTCAAAAACACACACAAATATCAGTAAACGAGAATGTTCTTTAGAATTGCATCTCATTTTCACTCATCATTTAACACAATAATGATTTTTGTAATCTTTATACGGCCATTTTTGTAATCTTTATATCATTTAGTACCACTAAATTGTGAATTTCGACATACTAAAACGCTGTTTTCTGACCATCAGAATTCTGTCAAATCTTCCCCAAAGTCAGGAAATGGCATTTCAGAGACTCTAAATTTAAAAATTTCCTCGGGCCTTCGGCCCTCGCTCCGGCTTGTTTTTAATAAGAATAACGTCAAATGTTTGTCACAGAATTACTAGAATAAACCCCAACAAAACTTAGAATTTCCAAAATATCTTATTGTACCTCCCCTCCCCTCCCGCCAATTCAGGGCACTTTGGAGACCCCCCTTGTTAACATTCCAGGACTACACCACTAATAGGCCTATAATTTTCACTTAAAGGGGCCCTACAGTCATTTTTTAGTCGAAAGCCTCCTTAAGTAGGGGACTCCACGGAGATTCGTTTGGCTGTATTAAGCATGCAGTATCCATGAGTATGAGTACTTTCGCACACCAGAAAAGGCATGCATACTGTGGTGCGCATGTCAAGTAGCGACAATAACAAAAAATGTAAACAATACTTGACTAA